ACAATTTACAGTAATTTTGGGACACCCTGTATATTTAATAAGAAGGAATATAAAATACCAGTTAATTTTTTTAAAGCTTTTTAAAAACATATTATGTAGTTTATACCAATGTGGGTTGCCTATAATAAGTAGATAGTATAAATCCTATTTTTTGGGGACTAGAACTATCTATTCTCTATTAAAAATGCCCTATAGAACCCATATTGATCCAGATAAGGAAACTAACATGGATTTATATGATTCTATATGTCCTATATGGAACGACCTGGTTTACACTTTGGAATCTATATGGTTTAATATGGAATTTCATTTTAAAATATACAACTTAGGGATTTTTATATGGATTTATCTGGTTTCTGTTTTATGTGTTTTTCCATATAGGTTTCCCTATATGGTTGAATATGGAATTCCATTTTAAAATGTATATATATTTAAACAAAAATTGCATATTAAACCATATAGATTCCCGTATATGGTTAAATATGGATCTATATGGTAATAATTTTTTCACACCCAAACCATATTGGGCCAGATAGAGCAATATGAACCTATATGGCAATCCATATAGAAATCACTTTTCTATATGGTTTTCCAGGTATGGAATTCTATCTAGTTCAATAGTGCAATGCCTGTTTCAAATTCCTATATTGAACCAGATAGATTTTTATTTTGTGTATCTATATGGCATTTTTAATAGGGTACCTTTTCAACTTCAAATTGGAACTAATCAATTTCAATTTGGGATGTAACAGTTTCAAATTGGGATTAATCAACTTTTAATTGGTAACTAACACGTTCAAAATGGGAATAAACAGTCAAATTGGAAAAAAACAAATTCAATTTGGTACTAATCAACTTCAAATTGGAATTTTCACTGAAATTGTAATTCAAATTGTCATACGTTTTGCAAGTCGAACGGCAGTCACGTTTAAACTTTATATTAAATTAATTAAAATGCCTTACACTTGACGAGTAGTTGCCGTGCGAATATACGAATAATAGTAATATTATCAAAGAAAATAGAGAAATATATGGACATAGTTTAAGCGTTGGTGTTTTAAATTAAACTTATAGTCGCTGTCCAGAAAATGTTTATAGGAAAAAGAAGCGGCCTTAAAGTTAATATTGTCTATTCTTTTTGTGGCATTTAACTACTGTTTGCACAAATCAAAGTTTTTCGGGAATCGATGAAATTTAATGTTTTTATTTAAAGGGTTTCTCTTGAACTGGTTGTCCGAATTGCATCCAAATATGCCACACAGTATTTTAATATATGCAAATGGCACGACACAAACTAAAACACAAACAAAACAAGTTAACGCAACACAAAAACAATAATAAACAAACAGAACAGGTTAACACAACGCAATAACAATAATTTGAAAACTGAAAAGTAATTCGAACCTTACTGAACGCAAAAACAACAAGTTAAACAAAAAAATAGAGCAAGTTAACATCCAACAGCATCGCAAAAAGAAGAATTTTAGCAGCAGATAATTAAAACGCACGTTAAAGATTTAAAAACACTCAACAAGTGACGTATTTAAGCCCCGCCCAATCTTAAGGTGTGTGTATCTTGCCTTAATCCGGTCACAGACCTGACGAACGTTTTCATTCGTTACAATTCACAATTTCAGTAAAAATTACAATTTGAAGTTGATTGGTAACAAATTGAATTTGTTTGTTTCCAATTTGACTGTTTATTTCCATTTTTAACGTGTAAGTTACCAATTAAAAGTTGATTAATCCCAATTTGAAATTGTTACATTCCAAATTAAAATTGATTAGTTCCAATTTGAAGTTGAAAAGGTATAGTGTCCACCCTATTGAAAATGCCATATAGAACCCTATTAAAAATGCCCTATAGAACCCATATTGATCCAGATAAGGAAACTAATATGGATTTATATGGTTCTATATGTCCTATATGGAACGACCTGGTTTACACTTTGGAATCTATATGGTTTAATATGGAATTTCATTTTAAAATGTACAACTTAGGGATTTTTATATGGATTTATCTGGTTTCTGTTTTATGTGTTTTTCCATATAGGTTTCCCTATATGGTTGAATATGGAATTCCATTTTAAAATGTATATATATTTAAACAAAAATTGCATATTAAACCATATAGATTCCCGTATATGGTTAAATATGGATCTATATGGTAATAATTTTTTCACACCCAAACCATATTGGGCCAGATAGAGCAATATGAACCTATATGGCAATCCATATAGAAATCACTTTTCTATATGGTTTTCCAGGTATGGAATTCTATCTAGTTCAATAGTGCAATGCCTGTTTCAAATTCCTATATTGAACCAGATAGATTTTTATTTTGTGTATCTATATGGCATTTTTAATAGGGTACCTTTTCAACTTCAAATTGGAACTAATCAATTTCAATTTGGGATGTAACAGTTTCAAATTGGGATTAATCAACTTTTAATTGGTAACTAACACGTTCAAAATGGGAATAAACAGTCAAATTGGAAAAAAACAAATTCAATTTGGTACTAATCAACTTCAAATTGGAATTTTCACTGAAATTGTAATTCAAATTGTCATACGTTTTGCAAGTCGAACGGCAGTCACGTTTAAACTTTATATTAAATTAATTAAAATGCCTTACACTTGACGAGTAGTTGCCGTGCGAATATACGAATAATAGTAATATTATCAAAGAAAATAGAGAAATATATGGACATAGTTTAAGCGTTGGTGTTTTAAATTAAACTTATAGTCGCTGTCCAGAAAATGTTTATAGGAAAAAGAAGCGGCCTTAAAGTTAATATTGTCTATTCTTTTTGTGGCATTTAACTACTGTTTGCACAAATCAAAGTTTTTCGGGAATCGATGAAATTTAATGTTTTTATTTAAAGGGTTTCTCTTGAACTGGTTGTCCGAATTGCATCCAAATATGCCACACAGTATTTTAATATATGCAAATGGCACGACACAAACTAAAACACAAACAAAACAAGTTAACGCAACACAAAAACAATAATAAACAAACAGAACAGGTTAACACAACGCAATAACAATAATTTGAAAACTGAAAAGTAATTCGAACCTTACTGAACGCAAAAACAACAAGTTAAACAAAAAAATAGAGCAAGTTAACATCCAACAGCATCGCAAAAAGAAGAATTTTAGCAGCAGATAATTAAAACGCACGTTAAAGATTTAAAAACACTCAACAAGTGACGTATTTAAGCCCCGCCCAATCTTAAGGTGTGTGTATCTTGCCTTAATCCGGTCACAGACCTGACGAACGTTTTCATTCGTTACAATTCACAATTTCAGTAAAAATTACAATTTGAAGTTGATTGGTAACAAATTGAATTTGTTTGTTTCCAATTTGACTGTTTATTTCCATTTTTAACGTGTAAGTTACCAATTAAAAGTTGATTAATCCCAATTTGAAATTGTTACATTCCAAATTAAAATTGATTAGTTCCAATTTGAAGTTGAAAAGGTATAGTGTCCACCCTATTGAAAATGCCATATAGAACCCTATTAAAAATGCCCTATAGAACCCATATTGATCCAGATAAGGAAACTAATATGGATTTATATGGTTCTATATGTCCTATATGGAACGACCTGGTTTACACTTTGGAATCTATATGGTTTAATATGGAATTTCATTTTAAAATGTACAACTTAGGGATTTTTATATGGATTTATCTGGTTTCTGTTTTATGTGTTTTTCTATATAGGTTTCCCTATATGGTTGAATATGGAATTCCATTTTAAAATGTATATATATTTAAACGAAAATTGCATATTAAACCATATAGAATCCCCTATATGGTTAAATATGGATCTATATGGTAATAATTTTTTCACACCCAAACCATATTGGGCCAGATAGAGCAATATGAACCTATATGGCAATCCATATAGAAATCACTTTTCTATATGGTTTTCCAGGTATGGAATTCTATCTGGTTCAATAGTGCAATGCCTGTTTCAAATTCCTATATTGAACCAGATAGATTTTTATTTTGTGTTTCTATATGGCATTTTTAATAGGGAACCATATAAAAAAGTCGTATCTGGATTCTATATGGTTTCTATCTGGTTCAATATAGGTATTTGAAACAGGCATTTCACTATAGAACCAGATAGAAGATTACATTATAGAACCAGATAAAAACACTCTAAAACACTATAGAACCAGATAGGGAAACCTATCTGGAAATACATATAGAACAGAAACCAGATAAATCCATATACATCCATATACATGTCTTTATAAAGACATGTATATGGTTGTATATGGATTTATCTGGTTTCTGTTCTATATGTATTTCCAGATAGGTTTCCCTATATGGTTGAATATGAAAATTTTTAAAATGGAAATCCATATTCAACCATATAGAATCCGTAATGTAAACCAGGACTTTCCATATAGGACCTATAAAACCATATAGAACCAGATACGTTTCCTTATCGGATTCAATATGGGTTCTATATGGTATTTTCAATAGGGCAGCTTGGTGAAGCCAAAATTCACACATTTGGATTGTGAGTGAACTGGGGAAAAATAGCTACTTCATGTTTTGCCCCTTGGTGAATTAAATAAAATATATATGTAGACCCCCTCCATCATCTGATTTTATATGTATTGCGTCAGAATCTGGGCGTAAGAAAGTGTGAAATAATTACTCTTGATCTCTTCTATGACACATACCATGACCTATATAGGTATATCACGTAAGCGTGACCTGGCTTGACGTCATATTTACGTCAATGCGTTTTTAAAAAGATGTTTTTAGAAAGGCGTCTTAAAGACGTTACCTTTTCTAACATACGACGTTTTAAGATGCATACCATACGGTGAAAACCGACTTTTTTATAAGACTTCTTAAATGACAAGTTACGATATCTTTAAGATCCCTTTAAAATATCCTATATATTATTATAAAATATCCTATATATTATTATAATAATATACTTTTAAGTAGAAAACTTAACTTATTATATTTTAGGAATATGGTAATAATTTGCTCGAATCTGGCGTACACGGTGCATTAATTGCATTAGACGAGAATTTTGATTCAAACAGCATGGCTTTAGCTTTGCAAATTCCAACACAAAATACTCAAGTAAGTACCTACATTTAAGTTTTTACTCATTTAACACCAGAGATGTGCAGTGCAGTGTTGCCAACCGTAGCGGAATTCCGCTACGCATAGCGGGATTTACCCCCAAAAGCGGCGTAGCGGCGGTGGAACAAAATGATGGTAAAACGTAGCGGAATTTAGTTTTTTTTAAATACGTTTTAGTAAAACATTTAAAACACTATTTTTTTTTCTTATGTTGATAGTTTGTTCTGTTTGTTTATTAAAAACATTACTTTTAAAAATATTAAAATAGTGTTTTTCTTAAAAATTACACACAAGATATTTAATAAACGTAATTTTTAACTTTCGGTCTCATACACCGAATCGACTAATGGCGTTTCAGAAAACAGTGAGACTAATGAAGGGTTACAATCTTTTGTGCTTAGCTTTATTTATAGATTTCCTTTCGTCCTTTCTCCCGCCCTCCCGTAAAATGCTATATATAGCCGCCGTAGGATTTATAAATGCTACCGCGGCTTGCCTATTGTTTATCTTTTACGGGCGGGTGGGACTTCCAGCGTTAGAATATTTTTGTTTTGGTTTTAAATAGGGATTTTTTGTTACCTGTTTTTTATATTTATTAGGTACTTGAAGAAAGTATTTTGCTTAACATTTCTTGTCTTTATTTGCATTAAAAAAAATTGTATCCAAAGTTTGGATTCCAAAATAGAGCGTGTGTAGCGGAATTAGGATAGATTCGGCTGTAGCGGAGCGTAGCGGAATTTTGATATTGTTGTAGTGTTATTTGTTATTTTCGAGTTGGCAACACTGGTGCAGTGCATGTACTTGAATTCAAATTTACTTTTTATACAACTTGTCCCACACTTACAACCTGCCACGCTGTAGGAGGGGTAATTTTAAGTATAAAAAACTTAGTGTGTCGGTAAGTAGACACACGCTATGCTTCTTGCGTTTTTTATATAAATATATTGCTAATTGTTCTAGCTTTCTCACTTTCTTTTAGTTCCTAAATGAAACAAAACATTAAAATATTATTATATTATTTTTATTTATATTAATTTTTTAATCTTAATTATCCTAAGCACAAATTTGCATAAACTCATAATTTATTTTTAATTTTTGTCCAATCATCCAGAAATCACTGCACATAAATAAAGTCATTCGGGAACTACTCCACATAGTTTCAACCACCTGGTACTACTGCGCATGGATAAAACTATCTGGTAACCGAGTATCATCTTAGGGCAGCCACTAATTTATTAGGCCAATCTCTTATATCGATTTTCTTATCTGTGACGTCACTTCCGTTGCATTGTAAAATTTTACTATCAACCTATCTACACTACTGTGCGATTTTTAATTTATCCCACTGCAAAATAACAAAAAAAATAAGTGACGTAACCTCTGTAGTATCAACATATTTGATGACACATCGACATCAACAATATTAATAGTTATTTAACTAGTGAGAAAGTGCTATTTTTCCGCACGCGACAGCCGTTGAACGAACGACGCGTAGCGGAGCGGTCAGCTGTCGAGTGCTGAAAATACACTTTCCGCGCGTGTTAGGTACAATATTTTTTTCACAAGTTTCCATTTGTATAAATTATGGTTTTTCTACAATGTCGAGCTTGCGAAAAAGTGCAACTTTCCACACGCTTGTATAGCTATTTACCCATGTTGCTAGCTAATAAAAATACAGTCCATATCACGAGAAAAGTCCGTTGCCTCATAAATTTATTGTTGAGATATGCACAACGTTACTGTCGTGCTTAACGTGTGGAAAAGAAACAGTATGGATAATCATGTCTTCTTAGGCTGTATTGGTTAAACCGTAATGATGACAATGATGACTGTCATTATGACAAAGAGAGTATTACCGTCTTAGCGTTGATTGTTCAAAGTCTTAGCATATCGCTTCGTTTGGATATAACGTACGCCTCTGCTGTCTTAATACATCCTTGGTGTTGAATGTATTAAAATGTCACGGTCAAATGTCATGCGAATATGATCGATCACGCAACTTGCGTCATATTCGTGACGCAACGGACTTTTATCGTGATTTGGACTATACCCAATTTGCCCTAGAGCAATAATATAACTGTTTAGGCATTAAAATACCTGGCCATACATAAATAAAATTTACTTACCTTAAAATATTATGAACATCTGCCACAACCACAACACTTATTTGATCATTTGATTCTTGACTTAACCCTTGTGGAATTTTTTTTCTGAAACAGTTTTAATAAGTAAAAATAAGAGTTTTGAAAGTCTTACTTTCTCTTAAAAACTCCTGACTTTTTCCGACTTAATAAGTCTTTCAGAGTTTTTAAGAGAAAGTAATACTTTCAAAACTCTTACTTTTGCTTATTAAAACTTTATTAGAGAAAAATTTCCAAAAGGGAACCTTATATGCAAAACAAATAATGAAATTTGTCTTGCGTGCCGACCAATAGAAATAAGTTTTGATGCTTATTGCGCTTCAAGTTAGTCCGTATAATATATATTATACGCGTCGAAGGGTCTAACTTTTTTCTCTCTGGTGTCCACAGTCCGCGCGTTATAACTTGGCGAGAACGCCCTAAACTCAGTTGACGTAATTTCGTAATAACCTTCAAGTTCAATTTAACACGTGTTTGGCAAATTCACGCGTATTCAATATTTACTTTTAAAATTTTTTGGCCATTTGTTCAATTAAAAAAGTGAAGGTAACAGTAGTAGTATAATCTTAAAAGGTACCTTATAATTATATAAATACGTACAATATATTTTACCTGTATAAAATATAATTTTTATTAAAGGTAACAAAGCAGTACCTACCATGAGTTTTTCTGTGCAAATCTCCCTATGCCAAGCCACCGCGGTGCTATTCTTCTTAACGGTGCACCGTTAAGAAGAATAGCTTCAAAAATAGGTACATATAATATTTCCAAAGAGTGGTTATTGAGTTAGGTAAATGAGTAAAAAATGATGTTTGATGTTTTAATTTTAGAATTATATAAAATCATGGAATAGTATATTACACTACAAGGGCAGAAAGTGTGAGATTCCTGTGAGGTGATAAACTACACAGTGCATCAATTTGGGGGCTATGAAAAATGGACGCAATTCTGCATAGCATAAACGAAAGTATACATTAAGATAAGAAAAACCCTAGCTTCATTTTGCGATATTACCTCGCATTTTAATTTTTAAGTTTTAGAAAATTTGTGAATTGACCTGCTCAGTTTTTGGCTAATAACGCGGCAAGTATTGAAGATAGCGACATAATTTTTTGGCAAAATTTTAACTAAGAGTGCCAGCAACAAATTTTATAAACATATTATCTCTTAAAAATTACACCTAAATTGCTCAAGCATATTAATTCGTCCTTTCTTTTCGCTACGGCTGTTTTTCACGATTCCATGTTTAATATAAAGAAATGACATTCATATTTTTCTAGGTGCTACAAGCGCTTTGCCTACAACATTAAAATTTTTAAATTCCTTGTCCTTCCTATCTTTCCAATCGTTCTTTGCGTATTGGTCACCAGTGTATCGCGTATTCGAATCACACAAGAACTTCTACACGAAATTCATGTGCTTCTTGTCAAGAAGCACATGAATTTCGTGTAGCCAGCTTGCAATCCAAAGAGTATAGCGACAACTTTTAAATCGCAGCAAATAATTCACTGACTTTGCTTATACCGGACCATTTCCAAAATGTACTTCATTTTATCATGTTATCTTTATGTCCGTACTGTAGGCGATTAGATTTAAAGGTGACAAGACTATTTCATGAGTAACAGTTAACAATTAAAATATAAATTGCAATTTTTGGTGACAACATCTGTTAAGTTTTGCCGCGGGCACGGTCTTATATACATATATATAAGACCGTGGCCGCGGGTAAACTCGAAAAAACTGCTGACAAGTACTACAGTTTTTCCACCTAGAAACCATTTGTAATTAAAAATTGCGGGTTTGTGATTGGTGGAAATTAAGACGAGGGAAATAGTCATACCTAATGTTTTACTGGTTATTGCATTTCTTATGATCACATGACAATTATTCATTTATTTTCGTAAGTAATATCACAAGGGATCTAATTTTTCCGAAAAAACACGTTGATAAGTAATATTTTAATAAGAAGCATGAGTGCTGAGGGCAACAAAAATCCGAGTCGAAAACGAGGATTTTTGCACCGGCACGAATGCATTTTGTTAAAAAATATTACTTGGCATTGTGTTTTTTCGATTTTTTCACAGGAAAAATTAGATGCCCGAATGGTATTTGACAAGACTATTTCATGAGTACCTAACAGTTAACAATTAAAATATAAATTGCAATTTTTGGTGACAACAGCTGTCAAATTTTGCCGCGGGCACGGTCTTATGTACAGGTCTTGCAACTTCGCCCAATTTCAATAGGAAAAGTGACCTCTCTAATGAGACACCCACCAGATGGCGCATCGAGTTGAGGGTGAACCATAGATGTTTAAAGGTCGTTTTTACCTTCTTTATCTTTGGGTTTTACAATCGTTAGATAAGCTCTCTGGTGGATAATTTTCTTAGATAGAAGGTTTCTATAAAGTTATCCGCCAAATAAGCTAACTTAATCTAACGATTGTAAAACCGGCTCTAAGTCCTTAAAGTCTATGGGATAAAGGTCAAATGAACTACCTACTTATGTTCTGTGAAGAAACATAACCTACATTTTTATAAACAAGCTTGTGTATTTTGTTATATTTGTTCTTGTTATACATTTGTATTTGTGCTTTTTAATAGACATGAAGTCCTGTGTTGTGCCAAAATGTAACCAGCAAAGCTATCGTTCCGGCATTAAAATTAAGCGGTCCATGTTTAAAGTGCTAACAAATAAGGAGCGGTTAAAAACATGGCAATGTGCAATAAAAAACATATCATTGACACCTTCACATTTTGTATGATTATTATATAATTAAGCACATCGTGTTGGTGAAATATATATTATTTTAAATAAACAATCAACCCATCCCCGCCAAGACAATAAAAAAATCGG